AATTTTTGGCAATTCTACTACCATGTTACCTTTCTATACTACGTTACTTGTTAAATTATACCTACTTGGAAACCTACTAATTATAACTTTCTATTTGGCCACTGCGACCTCTCCCTTCATCAGTCAAAACTGATGACCAGTTCTGCTAACTTCTCAACATTGATCAAGAATGGTGCCCATTCAGCTAAAATCCTCACACTGATTCCAGAAGGCATTCAGCTCTGTACTTCCCAAAACTGATCAAGAAATTTGCTCAGATCTGAACCTCTCCCACACTGATTTGAAAAGGCATTCAACACTATACCTCCCCAGCACTGATCAAGAGATGTTAGCTCTGAACCTCTCCACAATGATCCAGAGCGACATCCTGCTCTGTACCTAACACTGATTCAGAAAGGAGCACTATACCTGCCCCACACTGATCAAGAGGGATGCCTAGCTCTGAACCTCTCCATACTGATACAACAAGACATCCAGCTCTGACCTTCCTCTAACACTGTACCTCCCCAACACTTATTCAGAAAGATGCGAAGCCCTGCACCTCTTCACACTGATCCAGAGAGACAACCAGCTCTGTACCTCCCCAACACTAATCCAGAAGGATGCCAAGCCCTGCACCTCTTCACAATGATCTAGAGAGACATTCAGCTCTGTACCTCCCCAACACTGATCCAGAAGGATGCCCAGCCCTGCACCTCTTCACAATGATTTAGAGAGACATTCAGCTCTGTACCTCCCAATCACCAATTCAGAAAAGCTCCAGCTTTATATTTCCTAAACACAGATCAGAAAAAGCCAAATTCTGTACCTCCTGAATCTCTCCACACACTGATCAAGGAGGCCCCAGATCTGAACCCCTTGAATACTGATCCAGAAAGGCTCTTGAGTTCTGAACACTCCTCACCCTCATCCAGCAAGACTATGAGCTTTTAACCTACCTCCACATTGATGAAGAAAGGCTCCAGCTCTGTACTGCCCCCACAGTGATCAAGAATGACCCAGATCACACACACTGATCCAGAAAGGCTCTGAGCTCTGAACATCACCCACACTGATCCAGAAAGGCTCTGAGCTCTGAACATCACACACACTGGTCCAGAAAGGCTCTGCACTCTGAACATCACCCACACTGATCCAGAAAGGCTCTGAGCTCTGAACATCATCCACACTGGTCCAGAAAGGCTCTGAGCTTTAACATCCCCCACATTGATCCAGAAAGGCTCTGAGCTCTGAACATCCCCCCTTCCCTCTCATCGATTGGGAGTTCCCAGTTCTATAACTTTTCTAAACTGATTGAGGAAGCCCCAGCTCTGTATCTCCCCTATACCATCAAGAAAGGCACCTAGCTCTGTAACACAGTTGTAATTAACTATACTAAAATTGATTTATTGATTAAAGCCAGGTATCATATAATCACATCACAAATATCTAATACCGCTGTATCCAGACTCTAATGGTAGTTAAATGCTGTGCGTAAATGGATGTTGCATGGCCACAGAACAATGGCTACTATTGTAATGCATTATTTTTTTATCTCACAATAAATCTTAATAATATGCAACTAATTTACATCTACCAACTTCTAACATTTGTGTTTCTTTGCTGCTTTCTACAATTACCTGGTGACATAATACAGAATTAAAATTCCATGTAACATAATACTGTGTTATGGGAGAGTGCTATTTGGCACCTAAGGCTGTCTTGTGCAAGGGCACACTTCGGAACCAAACCATAATGTTCTTTTGAAGGATGGTAGTACACCTTAGGCTATGACTTGGATAACTGTCACACAACTGCAAGCTCTTTGGATGTCAGCCCAGGTCTTACATCAATATTATAATTACAGTGAATGATATTCCCAGGTATCAATGTCTTAACTGCAGATATTGACATTACAATCAAAATTTTACATTATGGAAAGTACCATGTAAGTGCATTGATCAAGAAAGGCAAAAAAAGTCTGTGTACGTGATGTGAGTCTCACACTAACATCTAGCTGGGGTCAAACATTTCAGTACTCCAACCATTGTAATGTAATTGCATATATAGCTGTCTCCACAAGTGTATAAATTGTAGTCTCTTTGCTCTGAGTCAATTTCTGCAGCTATTGGCAGTAAGCCAGGGAAACTTTACCCATACATGTCAAGATTCTGTTGGTGTCTGACAAATCAAGTGTTCCTGAATGACCCAGTCATGGTCAGGGATTGGGGTACCTTGTTGTAATATTGGCAGGAAGTCATTGGGAAAGTTTGATATGTACAGATGAAGTGTATCATGTGGTCCTAATGATGCCAAAATTACTGCAGCAATCAATCCTTTATAACCAAAAAACTAATGTACATCAACTTTTTTGTTGATCGTTTTTATACATTAACTGCATGAAATTTAGGAAGGATATTGAATCCCTCCTATGTGATAAACACTGAAATAAGTCTAAATGTCAGGACACAACATAACAAGCCTGCCAAAATACAAGAATTTAGATTTTTCCAGCACACCACAGTTAGACTTAAAAAAATATTGACACAATGTTCCCATTAAGCTCTGCTTCTAATGTTTGCAAACAATATGATTACAATGTAAGACAGGCCAGACAGAAAATAAATCAGCATGTGGGAGGGGCAGTTTCTCCAAGCAATGTTAAGTATGTATTTCAGGGATATGGACATATTGTTACAGACACTTAAAACTGACTGTTGTGCTTGTCAGAGATATGAAGATATTTGGAAACACAGCAGTTATAACAGGGATCAGGTCAGAGAGTACAGCCAAGGTATATCTGATACTTACAGCCTATAACCCCATCAGGATTTCTGGTACTTACAGTCTAGATATCTGACCAGCATTTCTGGTATTTACATTCTTGATATCTGACCAGGATTTCTGGTATTTACAGTCTAGATATCTGACCAGAATACCTGGTACTTAGTCTTGATATCTGATCTGGAGCTTTGATACTTACAGTCTAGATATCTGACCAGGATCCCTGGTACTTACAGTCTAGATATCTGACCAGGATTTCTGATACTTACAGTCTAGATATCTGACCAGGATTTCTGATACTTACATTCTGGATATCTGACCAGGATTTCTGGTATTTACAGTCTAGATATCTGACCAGAATACCTGGTACTTAGTCTTGATATCTGACCAAGATTCCTGGTACTTACAGTCTAGATATCTGACCAGGATTTCTGGTACTTACAGTCTAGATATCTGACCAGGATTTCTGGTACTTACAGTCTAGATATCTGACCAGGATTTCTGGTACTTACAGTCTAGATACCTGACCAAGGTTCCTGGTACTTACAGTCTAGATATCTGACCAGGATCCCTGGTACTTACAGTCTAGATATCTGACCAGGATTTCTGATACTTACAGTCTAGATATCTGACCAGGATCCCTGGTATTGACATTCTAGATATCTGACCAGGATTTCTGATACTTACAGTCTAGATATCTGACCAAGATTCCTGGTACTTACAGTCTAGATATCTAACCTGGATTTCTGGTACTTACAGTCTAGATATCTGACCAGGATTTCTGGTACTTACAGTCTAGATATCTGACCAGGATTTCTGGTACTTACAGTCTTGATATCTGACCAAGATTCCTGGTACTTACAGTCCAGGTGTCTGACCAGGATTTCTGATACTTACAGTCTAGGTATCCCTGGTATTGACATTCTAAAGGTGGATCCTGGATCTCTTACACACACATTTAACCAGGAACTATTTGTATGTTTTCTTTTACCTTCTAGTGACTCGGAGAACTGGCAAATACGAGCTTTATTATTCTAAAATAACTGGAAACACCACTTATACAATCTCCATCACACACAAGAAACCAGAAATTACTGTTATGTACAATCTCCATCACACACTAGAAACCAGAAATAACTGTTATGGTCTAAACATTTCAGATGTTCCTATACCACAGATATAACACCAGATGTTTCATTTCTTGTTTATGATCTTACAAACAATCATACAGAGCTGTCACCAATGACAAAATTACACTGTATTTCACTTTACCATACATTTGTATAACTAACGATCTAAGCCTAGAACATGGGACAGATTTTCGTAACATTTGTAACAGACCAATACCTGGAACTAAAAAGAGCACATCAAAAAATTGTTTCAAGAAATAATGAGTTCCTGATCATGGAAAATGTTCCAAAACACCAACATCTTCAGCTCATGGTTTTGATATTCATAATATACAAGCCCCAATGTAGACCAGTTGATAAACCTTATCTTGATAATATTCATATCAACCCCCAGGAACACTGATGCAGTAAAGTAACCTCACATATGGGCCCATACTTCAAACAGCAGGTGAAGCACCTGCAAAATGTATGTCAGTCGACCAGTTGAAAGACATTAAGTGGGTATGAATGAAGATTTTTCAGCAGTAAAACATTTTATCTTGATTCAGTCATGTTGGGTTGATAGTAATCCATTTACTATAGTCCATTCATACAAAACAGCCCTTAGTAAATTAGTGATCAGCTTGGATCTATTTCAGCAAGTGATTCACTGCTTCTGTTTGACCTTCATTGACCTCTAAGTGTGGCTGCTGTAGGATGACCTTCACTGACCCCTACCAACCTTATCTACTATACCTAACACATCTATAATGCTGTTTCCCTTTATAGAACACTTGAGGATGATCTTGGATTTTCGTGTTTAGTTGACCTAGTGTCAGCATGGTAACTTGAGAACTCTGGAGGCCCAGACTTGAAGACAAATAATCATTTGTTCTACAACAGTCTGCTCTGACCAGACACCAGTCAAAGCTAGCATGTAATTTTACTTCTTTGGTCAAATATCAAAGAAAAAATTAGTATTAGTAGTAATAAGAAAAGGTTTTTTTAGGTTTTCATACATGCTGTTAAGACATTAAAAAATTGAAAGATTGAAGAGTGATAGGAGCTGGACAGTCAGATATGTATGCGAATTCCTAAAGAAACCTATTCAATTTTTGTTGTACTTACTTTTTGGTTTAAGTCATAAAATGAGAAGAACTTGTATTTTAGGAGGATGAAATCATTGTCCCGAATGCCTTGCTCCATCAGAGATTTAGAGGAATCCAGCCATCTGTAAGATACAAAAAAGTTTCAATATTTTTTAATTATTCAATAGCAAGGTTTGCAACCAATCACTTGATATCAAGGTCGTTAATAAATCATTAGACATCATGGTCAGCAATCACCTAGTCCTAAATATCGAGGTCAGCAATCACCCAGTCCTAAATATCGAGGTCAGCAATCAATCATAATTTCAAGGACGTCAATCACTCAATACAAAAGGTCAGCAATCAACCACTCTGTATCAAGGTCAGCAACCAATCACTTGTTAATAAGGTCAGCATTAATAACTCAATATCCAGATCACCAAATTTACATTACATAAGATATTCTGTACATGTATCTTGTATTTTTCAATTTGATTTAGAAATTCTTGTATTTTTCAATTTGATTTAGAAATTGAAACTAGTTTAAGAAATTTGTAAAATCGATATATATGCACAAACCATAAATCAACAAACATTTTTTTCAGTAAATATATAACTATGAAATATGTTTACAAAGTTTGACAATTGGTTTCTATTAAGGGATGAGGACACAGTACAACGATGTTGTCATGAAGTCATATGGTAGCCAGCTGGCGAAGGACATTCCAGACAGTCTCCTCATTTCTACCTAATCCTGCCATGTTCCACTGTTGGACTCATTAGCTTATCAAACAAACTTAAACCTAAATACCCTGTAATACATATAATCAGCTCTGTCTACAGCTGGGTACAATCAGTTTGCAGCAGTAGACACACACTATCACCCATCTGGTAGACACACATCTATAGACAGGAGCCTCCCAATCTCTCCCACTCCACTTTCTACACTTCCAACTACATCTTATGCACATATTTCACTTTTTTATGTTCAGGAAAAACATCTGCATATTCTCATTAAAGTCTGGAATAATTACAGTGTAAATGACTCATTTTCACATGGGGATAGAGATTTTGCAGGAAAAAAGAAAGGGTAATAAAAATTGCTGTGAACAAAACATAAAAAATCCAGAAATATTTTTCCAAGTTTTTGCTATCAGCACCAGGATGCAATAGGGATGCTGTATATATCAACATGACTATCTTATCTAGAGCTACATCCTGACACATCGCGCCTCTACCCTACCTCTGGTTTTCTACATAAGTCCTACCCAACCCTGTAGTTTACATAACTAAAACTAGATACACAATCTTGCTTGAGTCAGCTTCTCCATCAACAGATAAACAGTGATGCGTCTAGTCACAAAATGAAAAATCATATGCATTAGGATATCAATGTAGAAGCATGACAAAAACTATCAAAAATTCTTTGTACATTTTGAATATCATGTACTTTTTTTTAGGATACTGTTTTAGATCCAAAGTGTCTGAAAATGCATCCAGGCAGATTTCTGTACTTGACTTGCTTGTTTTACAACAAATCAGTCCTCTAAATTTATCTTGTGATTTTTTTTTTTAATTTAACTACCTCCTTGTTTCTGTACTTTTTCAGAACCAAATGGCTGCATTACCATAATTATAGTAAAGTATTACAAATTTTAATAAATGCAATAAAAAATTGCCTTCTTAATGTAACAGATGTTTGTACAATTAATTTTGTGTAATACAATCTCACTGATATTCATCAGAATCTAAAATATCTGACAATGTGTTTCGTTGGTTATGGTTCTGATTTGTCATATCATCATGTAAATTTTATTTTAAATGGCAATGAAATGTCATTCAAATGTCCTCAGCTAGACTAAATGTACAGCAACTGTTGACTTGTTGTTATGTGTACCAGCAAAACATTATTTCCTGTATCCTGTTTAGAAACAATCTTGACCAACACCCTTCATTCTCTTCACTTAAATCTCACCAACACAAACTTCCTCTATTTAACTTCAAGTAACCACAGACATCTTAATTTGTTATCAGTACAGAATACAGATACACCAAGTAATATAAAAGTTTAACAAACCCTTAATTATCTTAATACAAAAAATTAGGATCTATTACATGTATTTAAAAAATGTTTTTTGAATTTGTATCATTAACACAAATTCCAGTTCATTTCATAGTTTTTTAAAATTAATTTTTTCAGGCATTTTCATCCTTAAGCACACAATTAACTACCAGTCAATCTTGTTTTTCAAACAAATTACCAATTCGATTATCTGAAACAGTGTTGATTACATCAAATATGTACTAAGTACAGTTTTCAGAAGTAGCTGATTACTAGATACACAAAGTAATGGAGATAAAAATGTCACTGATGAATGTTCATTAACAGAAATAAGCCAATGTGTAACGCTGTTAGTGTGTTTAAAGTATGTAATAATTATATATAAAAAGAAAGTAAACTGACAGATTCTGTGGTACATAATGTGATTTAACTACACAGATTGGGGCCACTGATGTAGTGCCAAGTTTGTCTGTACTATAAAGACCAAAGTTCATTACTGGATAGTTATGCATAATTTACTACGGCCCTTTCTACATTTTTGGTGGATTTCATCAGAGGAGGTACGGTACCATAGGATAATAACCATGCTTACATTATATCAGGGTATATTGCAATAGTGGCTACAATGAAGGATATCACAGTGTTACTAATTAAGTACAGCATTTTGTACATGACAGAATAGTTATAGGTACCAAGGGTAACAAAGACAATCATTATCTACATCATTTGATGGCATATACACGAAAAGAATTTTGATGATGTGTATTCCTTGGAATATAATCATACTTTGGCCTTCCAAACTTGTAAACTGAAATTGATATAGTATAGTGTCCTTAATCATGGCCAAGGTATCGCAGAAAATACATAACAATTCCAGAACACTGATTATCATTGGTGTCTTTCCAACAATAGTGTCTTAGACCATTTATACTCCTGCTATTAAATCAAGATACCTGAATACTTACAAGTAATTAATTCTAGCTTTTTCTACATAATTTTTTGGCTTGTAGAGGATAGGTTGAGCATCTCTGATCGTCACAGTCGGACTGTTGGCAAGGGCATTTTCCATACAGGTTTCAAATGACAGACTGTACATGGAGCCTGGTGACAGTGTCCCATTGGCATTGAAGGTGCTGTTGAACGTATTATAGGGTGACACAGAATTAGCACTGTAGGAGCTGACTCCTGGGGTCATTGTAGGTCCTAGAGTCAAGCCTGGGGTCCTACTTAGTGTATTCTGAAAATAAGAATGTTCTAGTTTTAGTATAATCCATATATAAAACCAAGCTTACTCTAAAGGTCAAATTCATTATCACTTCAAGTTTTTTTTTACAACATACACTAGACAAAAAAAAAACTATTCTTTGTCATTTTTCTTTATCAAATAAATCCACTACATCATCTGAAACTTTTATAATAAAAAAAAAAGGAAACTGATATCATTCAGGTCAAACTCCAACCTTTGCTGGGGGGGATTATGTTAGTTAAAGGGGAGACTACTCTTGCCCAGGTTAGTGATTAATGCTAGGTAAGAGGGAGGTGCATCTCTTTGGAATGATAGAAGATAGAGAAACTTTCAAGAATAAAAAAAATTCAATGACAGTGAAATGACCTCGTGGCTGGTATTGTAGACTTTTGTAAAATCAGGAGAAGACTACCCTGTCCTGTTTTTTTTAACTTACATTTGTAAGGGGGAGACAACTATTTCTTAATAAACTTTTATCAGGTAAGGGGGAGGCAACTCTGTGTATGTAGCCTTATAAACGATGAGGGAAAGACAATGCTTTGTTGCTAGACTTGTTTTAGACGATAACTCTGTCTTGATAGACATCCAATTTATTGTTGAGGAATAGACAACTCTGCTGCGAGACTTATATTAGGTGAGAGCAGATACAACTAATTTTGTTAGCAAGGGGATGACCACCCCATATCATATATACTTACATTAGGTGAAGGTCCTGCTGGGCTTCTGCTGAAAGGGCTCAGTCTATCCAGACTACCTGATGATGAGTGATGAACAGTACCATTTCCATTAACACCCATCACTGTTTCATCCTTTGAGTCTTTCTTTTTCTTTTGGTTTAAATTTTCTTTTATACTTTTCTTGAGGTCATCCTTGTCCAAATATCTCATAATTGACAATTCTTCAGGATGCCGTATACCTTCAAGGATAAAATCATTATACCAATCAACAACATCTTCAAGAGTAAAAAACATATTACATTTAATCAATATGAACTTTCATTAAAATCATGTGTTCTGTTTGGTCAAATAAGAGTGAAAATATCAAATTTTGTGATTTTCACTCAGTGAAAATGTCACATGTTTACAGAGATAAACACAGTAGAGTCACATATTTATGATTAACACCCTTTAAAGTCCCTCAAACATTTACATACAACACATTCTAAACAATAAAAATTTCTTTTTTTTATCTGAAGCTCTCTGACTGTAGTTAACATGAGTTATGGATGAAGCATTTAATCCCCAGTTATGTAACGACACAAACAAAATATACAACGTCTGCCAGAGAAGAAAAAAAAAACACAGTAAGTTCAAAGCCAAGAAATTTTATTAAAACTGTTTTCAATAGACATATAAGCCATTTTGGTATAGACATCTGTTATGAGACCCTAGGGTAAATTTATTAGACCTTATCTGACAATTTGTGTCTGCCAGGGGCATGAATCCTTTTAAAACTCCATTGATTCGCCATTTGTGTAAACACTGAAGTTGATATTGGGAACAACCTACAGCCACAGACCACTAGGAAGGATGCACACAAAATTAGACACCGTGCCAGAAACCAGCCATTTCAAGAAGATATTGTCTGTCTTTTATCTGCACATACCGAACCATAAAAAAGACAGGGATCTATCATGTTAGTTACACACACTGCTGCACAATGCCTTAAGATCATGTATACTCACCCAGGAAAATCCATTCTGTTTCATCTCCTGGCAAATTTACTTTGCAAATATTTAAAATACCGCACCACCACCGAGTTGGTTTATCTACTTAAACCCAAGTTTAATGAATTAGCATGCCTTTGAGCAGAATCGTTCCTGACAGAGGATGTTTTTACTAGATGTTATAGAAAGAGTGTGTAAGTCATGACAACCATCTCTAGATCCGACGAAACGGAAAAAAAATACCTGTAGGCAAATATATAACAATAGGGGAATTTATCATTACTGTCCTGTAAACAACATCACTCTTAACTTTTTGTATGGGGGAATACCTATGTATGAATAATAAGTCAAAACGGGGGATCTAAGTCTCTTAATGTCAACTTTCCAGTCTTGACTGAATCTCGTCTACATGGTGGATTTGTTATAAACTCGACAGAATTCTTTAAATGGAAACATGACAGTTTCTTGACTGCATGTATCAGTTGGTTATGTGGCAGCCATCAAAACATAGATGAGGTCAAACTGAAGAGGTAGCTACATGGTATGTAAATTAGATTACATCACAAACAATTAGGATGTTACATCAAAATGGTGACAAGATGTCAAGATGACATGTTTACTGTATACATGCATTAAGCCTATGAAGTAAACAGATTACTTCATCTCTCAAACCTGAGGATGGGTGGAATTATTACAGGACAATGAAACAGCCTTAGGTGTAATTTCAATCAAGAGCAACATATATACCAGTCAGTATTAAGCAGGTGGGACTGATGACAGGCAAATACAGTAACACTGATGAAGATCCAAAAATCCTTGCTACAGTATCTAAGGACCCAGATCTGAGGTAAAATGAGTCTTCCAATCTAATACAGACACTATGGGACATCTTACACCACAATGGAGTTTATAAGACATTTTACACCAATACAGCAGTTATGAGAATTCTAACATCATTCTGATCCTAATGCAATGAGAAGTCTAACACCATTCTAATACTGACCCTATGGGTAGTCTAACACCATTCTGATACTGATGCTATGAGTCTAACACCATTCTAATAGTGCTATGAGAAGTCTAACACCATTCACTGATCTATGAGAAGTCCAACAGTCTGAGAAGCACCATTCTAATACTGACGCTATGAGAAGTCTAACACCATTCTAATACTGACACTATGGGAAGTCTAACACCATTCTAATACTGATGCTATGAGAAGTCTAACACCATTCTAATACTGATGCTATGGGAAGTCTAACACCATTCTAATACAGACACTATGAGAAGTCTAACACCATTCTAATACTGACACTATGAGAAGTCTAACACCATTCTAATACTGATGCTATGAGAAGTCTAACACCATTCTAATACTGATGCTATGAGAAGTCTAACACCATTCTAATACTGATGCTATGAGAAGTCTAACACCATTCTAATACTGATGTCTAACACCATTCTAATACTGACAGACACTATGAGAAGTCTAACACCATTCTAATACAGACACTATGAGAAGTCATTAACACCTATTCTAACACCATTCTAATACTGATGCTATGGGAAGTCCAACACCATTCTAATACTGATGCTATGGGAAGTCTAACACCATTCTAATACAGACGCTATGAGAAGTCTAGCACCATTCTAATACAGACACTATGAGAAGTCTAACACCATTCTAATACTGATGCTATGGGAAGTCCAACACCATTCTAATACTGATGCTATGGGAAGTCTAACACCATTCTAATACAGACGCTATGAGAAGTCTAACACCATTCTAATACTGATGCTATGGGAAGTCTAACACCATTCTAATACTGATGCTATGAGAAGTCTAACACCATTCTAATACTGACGCTATGAGAAGTCTAACACCATTCTAATACAGACACTATGAGAAGTCTAACACCATTCTAATACTGACGCTATGAGAAGTCTAACACCATTCTAATACAGACACTATGAGAAGTCTAACACCATTCTAATACAGACACTATGAGAAGTCTAACACCATTCTAATACTGACACTATGAGAAGTCTAACACCATTCTAATACTGATGCTATGGGAAGTCCAACACCATTCTAATACTGATGCTATGGGAAGTCTAACACCATTCTAATACAGACACTATGGGAAGTCTAACACCATTCTAATACTGATGCTATGGGAAGTCTAACACCATTCTAATACAGACACTATGAGAAGTCTAACACCATTCTAATACTGACACTATGGGAAGTCTAACACCATTCTAATACTGACACTATGGGAAGTCTAACACCATTCTAATACTGATGCTATGAGAAGTCTAACACCATTCTAATACAGACACTATGGGAAGTCTAACACCATTCTAATACAGACACTATGGGAAGTCTAACACCATTCTAATACTGATGCTATGAGAAGTCTAACACCATTCTAATACTGATGCTATGAGAAGTCTAACACCATTCTAATACTGATGCTATGGGAAGTCTAACATCAGTCTAACACCATTCTAATACTGATGCTATGAGAAGTCTAGCACCATTCTAATACTGATGCTATGAGAAGTCTAACACCATTCTAATACTGATGCTATGGGAAGTCTAACACCATTCTAATACTGATGCTATGGGAAGTCCAACACCATTCTAATACTGATGCTATGGGAAGTCTAACACCATTCTAATACAGACACTATGAGAAGTCTAACACCATTCTAATACTGACACTATGAGAAGTCTAACACCATTCTAATACTGAGGCTATGGGAAGTCTAGCACCATTCTAATACTGAGGCTATGGGAAGTCTAGCACCATTCTAATACTGATGCTATGGGAAGTCTAGCACCATTCTAATACTGATGCTATGGGAAGTCCAACACCATTCTAATACTGATGCTATGAGAAGTCTAACACCATTCTAATACTGATGCTATGGGAAGTCTAACACCATTCTAATACTGATGCAATGATAAGTCTAACACCATTCTAATACTGACCCTATGGGCAGTCTAACACCATTCTAATACTGATGCTATGAGAAGTCTAACACCATTCTAATACTGATGCTATGGGAAGTCTAACACCATTCTAATACTGATGCTATGGGAAGTCCAACACCATTCTAATACTGATGCTATGGGAAGTCTAACACCATTCTAATACAGACACTATGAGAAGTCTAACACCATTCTAATACTGACGCTATGAGAAGTCCAACACCATTCTAATACTGATGCTATGGGAAGTCCAACACCATTCTAATACTGATGCTATGAGAAGTCTAACACCATTCTAATACTGAGGCTATGGGAAGTCTAGCACCATTCTAATACTGATGCTATGGGAAGTCTAGCACCATTCTAATACTGATGCTATGGGAAGTCCAACACCATTCTAATACAGACACTATGAGACATCCTGCACCAATACAAAAGTCATGAGAAGTCTTACACAATTCTAGAACTATGTTAGATATAAATCATGCTAGTTTTATATTTCTATATTATAAAGAAAACTGACCACAATATCAGACATCTAATACGTAATTTTCATTGTCTTTCTGTAATCGTTTATAAAGTCCTTGGTTCTTAAATTTTTGTGTGACACATGAATTCACAATGACTTCAAACACAAATCATTATTAAATAAATTGCAAATTGGAGCAATTTTAAAATAATGAAACAGAACTGACATTAAAACATTGTTTTCAATTCTGGTGATTGGTTTTAGGCCTCATTTCAACACCTATCATTTATCTTCATATGAGCTACAAGACCATGGCTTAGCGACTGGGAAGTACTTATGGGTAAATTCCTGAACTGGATTCCAGTACAATTTCTTTACTAGCAGGTGTAATGGAGATAGGATCGGGGACCTGGTATTAGTTAATAGAAGATTATATTTGTTTAGATTCCTTTACAATGTACCTCTTGGACCACCTTCCTAAATATAGTGGCTGGTTGAGACTAGTGTAGGTATGTATGTACTTAGGCAGGAAGAGAAGTGGTTGATGTATGTTGTGTTTGGGCCTGTTCCCCATCCATCACCATCCTCCCTCACACTGGACAGACAGTGCCTGCTGCCCACAGCAACACCAGCTGTTTCTGATGTACCAGTTATACATATATCACCAGTCTTAAAAACTTTGTAAAGAATATAAACATCATCTTGACTTCCAATATGAGAATCCGCAAGGTTGCATCCTGTTTCTATGAGTGGAATTGCCAAAGCATTCTCACATTAGTTTACCACTAAAATCAGAGTAAGGTCAAAGCAAACATTTATCCCCATGTTGTCTATCATGTATATACCCATCCTTTGTGTCCCTAATTCAAAGACAGAGTGCACCCCATTCAACATAATCTGTATTACATGTATACCATATTTATCCTCCATCAAACCTAAGGGAACCATCATATCATTTCTAACTCTGAGTGTGGACAATGAAAATGATGCTGGGTAAATACTGTCAGGGTATATATGACCTCAGTCTCCTAAGAAGGTCACTGGTTTACAAACACCACACTTTCAGCAACCCCTATAATGTTTATTGAAAAAGCATGAATACAGCATCGCTATACAGCAATCATTACCCTCCTGTATACCTAGCACATCCAACAATAATCAGAATATCCTTATTGCACTGTAACATCATTTTATCCAGACCTAACAAAAATTGCTTATACAACTCAATCCCTGAATCAGAAGCACTCCAGAGTCCAGTAATATCGTATCCCTATTTTCACTATAAAATTTGACCTAAAGCATCGCTATCTCCTTTATAAACTAAACCTTAATTATCAAGCATTCTGCTCAATGTCAGCCAAAAGCATATACCTACTTATTAGTCAAAGCAACCCTCAGCATCTCTAATTTATACAGATGTCCTTTTTAACACAATGAAAACCCTATAGACAAAACTGATTTTTATTGACAGGTCCATATCAATATGAATTCACAATATATATTATCCACAATAATGAAAATGATTTATAGCAATTCTCAAAATACATAGCAGCCTTTAGCATTATATGATACAGCTGGAAATCAATTACAGGAACGCCTCAAAACAAACTCTGTAATAAATCTGTTCTGTTTGATCTTTAGAATTACTTCACAGAAGAAATACAGAGCAGCTAGGAACAATTGCTTTGTATTAATTCTTTCCAGTTAGCGAGCTTTGGCCTGATTTTATTGTAGGTGACAGTCTGATATAATCGTACTGTGATATTGATGTAATCAATAATATCATTTCCTGGAGAAATCAATTTCCCTTGTGAATACCAGTTAGATTTCTACCCATAAAGAAGAAATAATATGACAGGCTATTTTGATAACAGAACCAGAAGTTTAAAATTACAATCCACTGATACCTGGTATTAGTTACAAGTGATTGCCACAGGTGTCAGAGGTATAATTACCAATGATTCGCCATTGTTAGAAGTCATTGATTCCGTCCTGTCAGCAGCCTTAGAATTATACCTACAGTAAGACTGTGTTCCAAACCAATACACAACACAAACAGATGAAAAACAACCTCCTAAGCCAATTTCATACAGCTCAAATATAATAAAAACTGCATGCTTCATCAATATCAAACCAAGGACCTTTCATCAGCCATGCATTTACAGTCTGATGAAGGACATTAACACTTATTTTGTACTTTAAAGGCTGCTGTGTGGTCAATGCGAATGACCTATATTTCATATTCCTAATCCTATCTATGAAACAGGATGCAGAAAGCAACAACAACAATATATACCAGCACTAAACTTAAGTTCCAAATCTAACAGTTTATCCTCTCAAAGGTGCAAGGTGCATTTGAAGACTGAAACATGATTAATATGAGGCATGGAAACCTTTTAAGTTCAGCTCACCTGAAACTCATTACTGTATCTAGCTGCTAGTTTACACAAGTCAAAATTTTAGCAATTTTCTTTTAGAACGACCAAATTATTTTAGTGAATTCAAACTTTGTGAGCTGGATGTACAAGGAGATCTTATTTATACATGGTTCATTATTTCATTGCCTAAATTTTCACAATCAAGTAAATGTACCGAGAAATAGCAAAAATAAGTGGCTGTATGGAATTGAATCACATTTCCTTTCTACAACTGTATTCATACTGTCGTACAAAATATCAACTGGTGAATTAAAGGTGTAAATTAACAATCTGAATCATAAATAACATATTTAGGTCATGATAATTAGATGTATATATATATAATACTCGCAGCATCACAACAAGAATGAATATGATCAATACACTCTGTATAGCACTGTATCTGGAACTCTAGGCTTCCAGGAAACCACTAGAAAGGATGTTCTGCAGTATTTCTATTGAAGTTATTACATCTGTTTACATTGTTTGTAACATGGATTTTCCATTTACTTAATTACTCATTAAGTCTCCCATTAGAGCACACATATCCATGACATTCTATCAAAGTCACAACCGGAAGGAAAATCTTTAAAACAGTAAAAATCTTTCTAAATAGATTTGTTTTTGTTGACTAGAATATTGCTGCCCGTAAGTACATACAAAAGAGAATTGTCAAGAGCATTTACATTTACAGCTCAGCTAGACAGTGTGTGTTAAGGACCAGAGGACTCATGAGAGGCCAGGAACCAAACACATTACAGGATGACAGGAGATCCACTACAGTTCTGCCCTATCTACACAAACACAAAAAGTGGACATTCTTGCTGTTCTAGCGCCATTCCCTCAAAAAAGGTGATAATGCATCTAACGATAAAAGTGATGAGGCAACCACAGCAAGGTGTTATCTCCTGCGGTGCGGTTCATGCAGTGCTCTCACTGGTTCTAAATGTCACTGGCAGCTACAGTGAGAAATTCAGAATCCCGCTATTCTCTGACCCTTTAACAAGTGTTTAAGTAACTGATCATGAAGAAGTCATCAAAGTGGAGAGATAATTATCCAAAATGGTGAAGATGATAAATCAAGTTGTCATATAGCTGGGATTCTTAACATTTACTTCCTTCAAAGAGTTTTTGCCCTTGTTGAATTCCAAATCTCAAAACTTAGAAATATCCTAATCTCTTCTGTTTACATAGCTACGGTTTTTTACTCATTAGACAATCTTACCTAATTCTTTACAAAGTAGTATGACTGCTGAGAAGACATTTTTTGAGAAGTCCATCCTCATGTCAATGATCTGCAGGTCAGGAAGCTGCACTCGTACGTTTTTGTGCATTGGTGTAAAATTGAGTCTGTCATCAGCCTGTACACCATACTGGTTTAATGTTGACCTTGACCTTGTCAACCATAATTTTCTCTCTGGCCACCACAGAGAATGATCTGACCAATCCATAGCAATATCTGGAAACAAAAAGAAATATAGATTTTATAAAATGTTTAGTACATATTCAGAAATGATTAGTCAACTCTCTCTTTGAACACCATTCAATATTTTGTTTTTCATTTCATGTAATTATATATGGGAACCTCGAAATCACATTGAAAAATTATATATACATATTTATTCTGCTGACATTTAAAAAATACTGCTACATTGCATTGCTGGTAGTTTTCATGGAAAAACATTTGATCACCTAAAACCAGGTATTACCAAAATAACATACAAATACATGCTGTGTTATGATAACAACACATATAATATCACTTAGCCAAGCTTTCATTGGCTGAAGGTTTCTATTGTTTATATGTGACATCATAATTAACTTTACGGCATTGCCAGAGATGAAGTAAAATTGAGAATTCTTGTTTTCTACATCTCCTATGAAATGCATATTTAAGTAAAAACCTCTATGTATCATAACTACTAGTGTTAATTAACACTGCATACATGTACTACACAGTCAGTACAGTTTTAAAACATGGCAAACTATTTTCACATTGCCATTGTAATTCAGAAACATCAAACCACTGATGGTATCATGAAAAGCCATTGTCCTAGTATTTATAACCAGTAATACTGGGTCAACTTGAATGAAAGTGATATCATAACACAGTGACATCTATAGTATACTAACACAATGACATGTGTAAGGAATAGCCTCATGTCATTGACCCTGTATTTAATGAATATATTTAAATCTCCTTAAGTTATCAGGTTGAATTATTTGAATAGCCCAGTACTGTTATACAGAGTAATCCTATTCACCGAACTTCTGATCAATTATATGATAAGCAACAGAATGCAATCAAGCCAAAACCGTTGTACATTTGTTAGTCTTCTCGTCTCCTCGGACGTGCCAACTACCTTTAAGTCTCCGAGCAGCACAATCTATTGTTGACAAAGTAAACTTATATATCAACAACAAAATGAGCTGCATACCATTAACTCTATAGAGCTAATCAATACCCATACATTTACCAATCATTATTAATTCCTTCGAACAGGTTTTTCATTCCAATGCTAGCATGATCACTGGATAGTTTTTTATCCAAGTTCTACATTATAATATAGACGTATCTGCATTAAAACTGTTCCCAAAACGATGTAACTCTTCTTACACATTACCAATCTCACCAAATGTTTTCATCCTTGAAGTACATAGACATAATAACTAATTGCAGTAGTGTTTCTAATATTGACCATCACATCTTTAATTCTTTCTATATCTTAACTACATTTGGCTGGGTCGTGAATGCCCAATTCAGTAGACCATAACTTCTAAAAAGCTCATACATTGTTATATATGTCCATTTTTCCGCCAGCTCTAAATATTACAACAACTTTCCCAGCAAACATTTTCTACTAATATTGGTAATTTAGCTGACTTGTAAACTGGCTGTTAAGTGAATTTAACAACAAATAACAATCTGTGTATACATTGAACTTCCATCCCTTGGGAATTCCAGTCCTATTGCATTTAAAAGCATCTGTTCAACAATCTCTGTAGTTTCCCATTTTCATACACATTCAGTATCCAATAATAAGCTCCATTAGTCTGATGACTAAGTTATATTTTGAATTTCCCATGAAGATCGCTTTCCATACTATTTGAGATTATGAATGTGATTTTAGTCAAACTTTCACTTCAAATCCAATGAATTTTTTTCAGATTATTTCATAAATATCGTCTATTTTAAAACTTGCTTTAAATGTACCACTAAATAGGATGTATATAACATTTAGGGATGAATCATGTGACCTACACTTGCATACATATTCAGGTATATAGAAGTGGACAGAATCAGTGCTATATTTTTAACATTAATCTCTAAATCATGATGCGAATCTAAATTGGTAAATTAGGGCCTATTTTTAAAGTACTAAATAAGTTTTCTCCATAACTTAATTTACATGTAAATTTATTGTACGGAGCCTTTTAACCTAGACCGAGGAAACAACACTGAAATACATAACAGATTTTTTTTTGAAAGAATGTACTACATTTTGTGTATACTTTTGATATTTTGATTGAATCAATTTAAAATCAATTAGTATCTGTTGATATTGATTTGGAAACTGAATGGATAAAAGCCTCATACCGTGATAAAAGTCTATTTAGATTGGACAGTCTACTTTATCAATACATGTAAATGGAAGGATAGATATTTCCCAGTGGTGTATTTTACACTTCCAAGCATATTCTGGCAATCATGCTGTGCGTATACATGTAAACATCTATCTATAGGTACGGGTTATATTTGTATGTATACCACTGTACAGAGAAACTGTCCATTTTTGCCTGCAGTCGTTCCAAATTACATAAACTACAAACATTCTACATGCACAGTAAGGAGAGAAGCTCTATAGTAATTTTGTATGGCAAATGCATAGTTATATAATCCACTGGCAAATGTGTCTCATTTTGCAGTGAATATGAAGCATCCAGCTAAGATACTCATGAAGTCTCATAGAGGACGTCAGAAATTTTCTATGTACAGAATTCTTCCGAGTTAGCCATCTGGGACATGTAGCAAGGAAACAGTGCCTATCATGTTACCTCGAATTACAAATTACGACTTAGAATATGAAATGCTCTAAAATGACCTTCATTTCCTTAAAGTTAAAATGATTACTGTGTTCTCATGAACATGATTACAGACAAAATATTCAAACAGCAACTTCATCCAAAATTTATGCAATAACCTTCATTTCTCAATTGTGTGATACCCAAATCATAACATATGACTTAAAACTCGTTCATCATTTACCACCATTAGCCTGATCATCAGACTGACAGCCTGCTTGTGTATCTCTCACATTTAAATTGATTATTCCATTCACCAAAAAAACATCAGCATTGAATTGCATACATGAAAGTGCCCACAACAAAAGTGTCTGACTTCGATTTCCACTGTATGCGATATGGCTGCACCGTCAATCCACAGATTACTCCTGTATTTATCAGGATGTAGATGTACAGCTGAAGTCAAGCACATAGCTTTATTACTACAAATAATCATCATTACTAGTAACAGTGCAACATTACTCAGCTTTCAACTTTGAATGAGAACAGAACAGGACATTCTAGAACCGTGTTTGAAATATGATTACCTAATTTATTACATGAACAAGCAATCTTAATGCCTAATGAAAGTTGCTGTATGCTCATCATCAGGCTACCTAGAGTCTACAGTAGTGAACTATTTCATGAAGTCATTGATATATACATGAATCACACTGGATATCTACTGCACATCTGTTGGAGATCTGTTACACCTAACATCAGTAATGTTACACTAGATAGGATCACGTCATATTACAATATGTTACTTCTCAATACACTCTACCACCAGCTAATACCAGCAACCACACAGCCTAATAGCATGGTAACACCTTAACTCATTCCCAGATCTATAAGCTGATTTCTGCAATAAATTTTACTTTTTTACTAATTCCTCTTCTAAATCAATCACAATGTAACTGTTACTTGTCTGCTGCTGTTTCATTTACAAAATGTGAGGTTATGGAAGGTGACATCACAATCTGTAGCAATACTTTACAATAGATTCAGAGATTAATGCATATCTTTTAAATTAATTTACAACAGAAATGTATTATACAAGTTCTATGACATCAGCTGTAACGCAGTCTTACAAGGACTTCAGCATGTGTGATTGATTCGGACAGGAATCTAAGTTTCTGTTGTGCATACATATCATTGAATTTAAGCCTCTTATAATTTTAAGCATATGCACTTAAAAAGTCTATTTTTAAAAATGTTTTGCAAAATTTGAAAGCTTTACGGCCACGCCATAACTTGTTATTAATGATTTTTACATAAAGTAAATATTTGTATTTTCAACAGAGCCCAATACAAACAACATGTGACAGGAAGTGTTTTCCTAACATTTCCTATCCATCACTAACAAGTTAAAACAACAAATCACAGCCCTTCATTAACTTAAATTTAATCAAAAATGTAATCAAGTTCATTTTTAAAGAGGAATTTCCTCAAAACATGATTTTCAATTTTCATGTTACTTCCCAATTCATTGTGCATGTTAGACTGAACATGTAAACTTACTAATGTGGGAAAATATCATATTTGCAAGACACCTTGGAACCGTCTACATATCAGCCACCAATTAAAGTAATTGATAATTTTCTGACAAATACATTTTACAAAATTTCATTATTGTAATTGACAAAATAAAATGACAATTTGAAGAATGAAAAGTGAAATGATGTCAGCATTTTGTTGCTTTGATCATGATCAGATACACATTCTTCTGATATCAATTAATGCATTACTACAATTGTTATGACCCATATGCTTGGTATGAAATTTGGTTGATAATGAGGAACTCCTGAGAGAAACCATAAATCTCCTCTCTCCTCTCAGATCTGACAATATAGCTAATTATAAAACAATGATGTTTTGGTATGATTCAGATGTGTATGTCAATGCTATTAATGCATCATTTCGACTGTACTAATTAACATCAAAGATCAGATCTAAGATAACCCTATATATATCTGAGATCACAACACACCATGCATGTCCGCCCCTATCGATGCTGCTGATACAAGACATTGGCATGTCTGTAAGACTAGGGAAGGGAACGGGTAGTGATTTGATCAGTGAGCACTTTTGATGGACATGTAAGATTGGACACACCACTGCACTCTGTAATGAGTCGTGTGTAATACTTGTTCTGCAACAGACTGCCAATGTAAGGAAAGGTTCAATGAGTCAACCACAGGAAGGTGGAATCTTAAGTACATGTCTCCCATTGTACTGCAGTTCTGAGAATGTTCATGTTCCAAAGGTAAAAAATTATGTTGATACAAGTTTTTTTCACTTTGTATCCATGTTATCAAACTGATCGCTAAATCAAATAAACTTATGTCAATGTCATCACCCTTTAGCATTTTTCTAAATATTTGTGATTAATTGCAT